CTTTGAACCACACTAATCTGTTTTGCCATGAGGTTTACCAAGACAAAATAAATTCGAGCCAATGTCACATCTAGGAATTTTAGTTTTTGCAAAAATATATGATCTAAGAATTTCTCAAAGTTGCAATACTTGAAAATTTTGATGACTATCGTGTCATTTGTGTGAGTGAAATTAATTTGGATTCCTAAAATAAGATTTTAGATTTGAGTATTGTAAATAAGAAAATGTAATTGTGAAAAGAGAATTAAACAAAAGTGACCAATTGAATTTTAAATTTTTGGATTGAGAATAATTATTAGTAAAATATATGATATTTTGCATAATAACACAATTAAAAAATTAAATATATTTATAATTATTTAAATACGAGACTAATTTATTTTTAGTCTCTCAAATTTAAATTTGATTATTTTAATTTTTATAATTTGGAGAAAAAATATCTGTTTTATCCTTAGACTAAAATGTTGCTAATAAATTTGTTAAATATTATTATACAAAATTTATTTATTAATATCTTTATTAATGAAAATATTTCATTAAATTCAACTAATATTAAATAATTATTTTAATTTTTCACAATTAGATATATTACCAATGACCTAAAAATTAAAATAAATTTACAAAAGTTAAAAGAATGAAAAAGATCAATTTTAAATATGAGTGACCATAAAAAAATTTATCCTAAATTTTAAAATCTAGAATCATATTAATTCTTGGAAAAAATTGAACCCTTGATTAAAAGTTGAGTCAATGGCACAACTACTTAATTGGAATGCTGAATTGAAGAATAACCTGTGCGAGTATTTTGGCCGAGAATTACGAACCTCAAAGGACTACGGAGAAGATGTTCCATCTGTCTCTCACTCACCCACTCTTCACTCTCATCAAAACTGTGGCATTAATTGCACAACTACTACCATCTTACAATTATCATTGTTACTGCATATCTATATCCAACAAAATTTATGTTTCTACGATGATGAGTGAGCCAGTCATATGCACACAACAACACATTATATCTATTTCAAAGACAAAGATATTGTTCGAAGGTCCAAATTGACCATCACACATTTGCAAAATTCTCATTTTCTCTTAGCAAGGTTGGGTTCCTAGACATGTTATGTCGTGCTAATTCAGATTGGGAAGTTTTCACATTAAAGATAAGATAAATAAAGAGTTTATATAAAAGGATAACACTTAATTTACAAAATTTATCAAATAATTTTGTGAGATTGATTTATAGTTGAATAATAAACATGCAGCTATATGTCCCAACTCAACACTTCTTCCCTTCTCGAATAGGAAAATGTCTTTTTAGATGAACCTCGTGATTAAATTCTGTACTTGGGTTCGGCAATTGATATTCATTACTAACAAACTCAATTTGAGAGAGATTGGACGACAATGGATGTAGAGCCATTCATTTTGTTGTAACTTGTCAATTTCATATTCAGACATTTGTTCTATATACGTAGTTTTTTTTTTTTTTTTGCTGGTTACAAAATAATTTTTAAAATCATTAATTATAATGCTTTGTAGATCACTTGGCTGAAAGACCTGCACCTTGTCAATTCTTTGTTATAATGCGTTATATTTGGATAGTCTAGAATTAGATAGCATAAATTCAATTGTACAAGGCTAAATAAAATTTTAATATAATGTATCAATTATTTAATACTTCCGCCATTTTTTTTATATATAAAAAATAAGTTATAGTGTTTGAGGTTTAGATTTTAAGGTTTAGGTTCAATTGAACTATATTGCGGAGGTAGTATATTTTCTTTTTAAATTTATTATTTTATCTTATTATGGCCAATACAATGTAGCAAATAGAGTTGTCCAACTAGTAGGGTGACTTTGCCTTGCTAGATCAAAGTGTGAAAAATGAGAAGTGCCAATTCTACTTTTATATGGATCATATTCTAATTGGTATGACCCGCTAATGATATTAAACTATTTTATTTTTTATTTAATATTTTTTTTATGCAACTTAAAAGACAAAAATGAAATATATCGGTTATCTAATGTTTGTAGTTTATTTGAATCAATCACTTATTTAGTTTTTCAATTTTTTTGATTTAATGGACCGTCAAAACAATAAATAATAAAGTTTTTCATTTTTTTTAATTTAATGGGCCGTTAGAACAATATATGATAACTATGATGAAATAAAATAATGATTTTTAAAATTGAATGGTAAATTGTTTTTTTTTTTATAAAAATAATTAGCATTCAACATATTAAACCTTTACTCTTATAGGAGTTAATTTAGTGGGAAGGAATTTTAATCCTATATATATATATATAT